GTGCTAAGGATTGAACCCAGGGCCTCACATGTGTGAGGTAAGCACTCTGCCTCTGAGCCACAACCCAGCACCCTAGCACCCCAGCCCTTTTTTGTATGTAATTTTGAGACAGGATCTCACTGAGTTGCTTAGGGACTCACTAAGTTGCTGAGACTGGCTTTGAACTCGTGATCCTCCCACCTCAGCCTCCTGAGCCTCTGGGATTACAGGTGCCACTGGGATTACAGTGTGCCACTGTGCTCGGCTACTTTTTTTTTTTTTTTTTTAAGGACAAAAGTAAATTTGTGAATTTACTTTTCATTAGTGTCAGCTCTTTTGACAGGCACTAACTAAAAATTGCATACTAGTGTCACTTACTCTGAGTTCATTTTAGTTCCTTTTCTTTCCCATGATTGACTCTTCCTCCTCCCCTATTGTGAGATCCTCCCCCCAGCCATGTCCATGGTTGGAAGATTTCATATTGATATGCTTGAGTTTTCCAGAGAAGCAGAGCCAATAGGGCATGTACTTAGAAAGATCGTGGAAGCTGGCAAGTCTGAAAATTTCAAGGGATGCTGACAGGCTCGGAATTCCAGTGAGATTTGGTGTTGTCTTGAATCTAAAACCACACTCAAGGTAAAATTCCTTCATCCTTGGGTGCCAGGTTTCTGTTCTCTCGACTAAAAGGCTCAGGGGTCACTCTAGTTAAACTGGGCTAACTGGGCTGCACGAAATAACCACACAAGAGACACAAATACCTTTTTCTTTGGGGTTGCTGTGACGGCTCCTCTGACCTTAAGGGTCTGCAGAAAGAGAGAGAGAGCACGGGCTGACCCCTTTTATTGAGGAGAAGCTATTCAAATGAGGCAAGGGGTCAGGTTTCAGGGGGCTGACTCTGTCTTCATGATGTCCACTGTCAGCAGGTTGACTGACACCTGGGTAGGCCACACCCAAGGGCACAGTAAGAGAAGGGGACACACACACAAGGTACTTCCATGGAAGATTCTATCCTAAACAGGGCAAGGGGTTATATTACAAAGGAACAGGTGAGCATAGCTTCACCCATGGGGCTGTAGCAAGACACACCCATTTCTGTGACTGAGCGCCTCAGCACCCAGCTGGGGAGTGTAACTCAGTCACCCATAAGATTGGCCTCCTACACTTGGGGACCTTCAGTCTTTTCTCTTAAGGCCTTTGACTAACAGTATGAGGTTGCTCATGTTATAGAGGGTAATCTCCTTTATTAAAGATCTTTTTTTTTTTCAGTTATAGTTGGACACATACCTTTATTCATTCATTTATTTATTCATTTATTTTTATGTGGTGCTGAGGATCTAACCCAGGGCCTGGCACGTGTTAGGTGAGTGCTGTGCTGCTGAGCCACAACCCCAGGCCCTTTTATTCAAGATCTTTACATGTTAAAAATACCTTCACAGTAACATCTAGATTGGCACATTAGCAAACAACTGGCACATGGCCTAACCAAGTGGAAGCAATCCACCTTCACAATTGGTCACTTAAACTGATGTTATTGGATTCATTATAATCTTGGTTAAAATCCAAGAATGCTGTTTAAAATGATTGACAGGCTGATTGTAAAATTCATATAGAAATGCAGGAGAACTAGAATTTTGTCTGTCTAGAACTCTGAAAAAGAGCAAAGTTGGAGGATCCACAGTACTTGATTTCTAGACTTAGTGGGAAGTCGTGGTCATGAAGACAACATTTTAGTGAAAGAAAGAATAGACACATGGATAATGCAACAGGATATGGTCCAAAAGTAGACTCACATATATGGTCAATTTTTGTTTTGCTTTGTTGTAGTTCTGAGGATTGAACCCAGGGATTCTATGCCACTGAGCTATATCCCCACCTTTTTGAAATTTTTATTTTAAGACAGTATCTTGCTTAATTGCCCAGACTGGTCTCAAACTTGGATCCTCCTACATCAGATTATTAAGTGTGCACCACCATGTTCGGTGAACTTCTCTTTGGATGACTTTTTTTTTTTTTTTTTAAAGAGAGAGTGAGAGAGGAGAGAGAGAGAGAGAATTTTTAATATTTATTTTTCAGTTCTCAACAGACACAACATCTTTGTTGGTATGTGGTGCTGAGGATTGAACCTGGGTCGCACGCATACCAGGTGAGCGCCCTACCGCTTGAGCCACATCCCCAGCCCACTTTGGATGACTTTTAAGGGCTGGGAATGTGGCTTAGTGGTAGAGCACTTGCCTAGCAAGTGTGAGGCCCTGAGTTCAATTTCTACCACAATATATTCATAAATATATAAATTCACTTAAGCAAATGGAAAGACAATTGAGACTAGGGGAAAAATATTGTAAATCATGTCTGATAAAGGACTTGTATCCAGCATGTATAAATTACTCTCAAAACCAAATAAAACAATATTCTGTAATAACTGAATGCAGAGGCGCTTCATCAAAAACACTGAATAAGTAGATGGCAAATACACACATGAAAATACAATGTTCGGGCTGGAGTTTTAGCTCAGTGGTAGAGCACTTGCCTCGAAAGTGTGAGGCACTGGATTCCATCCTAGCACCACATAAAAACAAAAACAAAGGCATTGAGTTCGTATACAACTAAAAAAAGTAAAATGAAACATAATGTCACTAGTCATAGGAAAATGCAAATTAAAACTACAGTTGAGAGGGGCTGGGGTTGTAGTTCAGTGGTAGAGCGGGTGCCTAGGAACTCTCATGATTTAGCCATTCCACTTAAAGGCATTTATCCAAGAGAAAGGAAAGCATATATCTGTAAATTGATAGTATACAAATGTTCATGGGTATATTTTATTTTTCTACTTATTTGTAGTACTGATGGTTGAACCTGGGTTGTCGCACATGCTAGGTAAGTGCTCTACCACTAGTTATAACCCTATCCTTTGGCAGCTTTATTTGTAATATTCCAACCTTGGAAATAACTCACATGTTTGTCCTCAGGTGCATCAAATTGTGTTGACCATATAATGAAAGACTAGTCAGTAATAGAACAAATGATTAATACAACATGAATAAATCTCAAAAATTATGACAAGTGAAAGGAGCAGCAAAAAAGGACATAGTAGGATTCCATTTATAGCAATACTTAGGAAATGCAAACCAACATATATAGATAACAAGCAGATCAATGGTTGCCTGGGAAGGGTTCAGGAGGGACTGTGAAGTGAGGAATCTGTTCCTTATCTTGATTGTATTAATCACTTCACAATTAAACACATGTCAGAATTTATCAAGGTGAATTGTGTGTTGTGTATTGATTATACCTAAATAAAGTTCTAGTGCCTGACATACTTAGGTTTTAGTTCCTTTCCTCCAGGCTGACTCTGCAGCTTCCCCTCATGGTGACACTGTCCCCTCCAGCCGGACAGGCCAGTGTCTGTTGTCCTAGGGCTTCATACAGCTGGCTTTCTGGACCATCATGTGCCCTTAGGAAGACTGCATCAAATGACACTTTGCAGAGGTGACGTAACATTCTGGAGCCCCTGCCCATTGGAGATGGATCTCTCGCTTCACCTCTGACTTACATCACAACCTCAGCCAGCCGTGGACCTCAAAGGTCAGATGTCACAGGCTTTCCTTAACTGGACATTCCCTTGAATGCGGATCAGTGGCTATCAAATAGAATCTCTTAGTTTGCCCTACAGCTTCTTCAGTTGGAGGCGTGATCAGGGCCTTGACCTGCCCCAGACTTTACATCAAATTAGAGCAAGTCCTGGGGCCTTCCAACTCCTGGACCTAAGCCCAAGGGATACCCCACTTTGTCTCCCTCATTCCATCTCATACGATCCCAGGGCTGCTGTGGGTAGGGGAAAAAAATGCAGTCCCTGACCCTGCCTTCCAGGGCCTGGAGGCTGGGACAGTAACTGCAGCAGTTTGTTGGGGTCTGGACTTCTTCCTCATCACGTCTGCCCAGTTGCCCTAGTGACTGTGTGACCCGCCCCCCACCCCCGCCCCGCCCTTGCATGCTGCTACCTCCCATACCCACCATATAAATAGAGGCGAGGAGCAGCTGGGCTCTCTTGGCAGTCACCATGAGGGCGCTGCTCCTGCTCTGCTGCTTCCTGGCCTCGCTCCTGCTCTCAGGACAATCAGGTACGCCCCCCTACACAAGTGGACCCCGCTGTACCCTAGATGCTTCCCTGAGGTTTTCTGTTCCCTGGAGTGGGGGCTTAGAGCCAGTGGCAAAGCTTTGCTCCTTTCTGGTGTCACTGTCATTATCCTTCTCCTTGGGGTCTGGGCTGTGGAGGAAGCAAGGTGCTAGAGTGAACTGGGGGATAGGATGGCTTGGGGGAGGACAGAGGAAGTAAGAGAGGCAGATGGGCCTGAGAGCTAGGCCAGGGTCAGAGAGAGGAGCCTGGATGGCCGAACCTGGGAGAGAAGACCTCCACAAATCAAGTCTGGAGGAGATTCCAAGATGGACAAAATAACAGATTGGAGCTGGAGGTCATTTGGGTTACCCTCCCACTGGGTGGGAGAGAGGGCAAATGTCTTGGCTCTGTTTAGAGCCCTGGGTTTGCATGACTGAAGACAGAGGTGGACACTGTGGGCAAAGTTGGGGATCATTTTGCAAACTGGGATAAATTTGGAGTTTTTTATTAGGGTTTGATATAGATTTAGGATTTGGGCTGGAAATAGAATTAGATGCAGAGTCCAGTGAGGAGGGGGACCCATTTTGGATGAGATCCTCTGTGAGGGGCAGGGGCTTTCATCAGGAAGGGGCTCAGCTCTGCATGCTCGGCTTTCCTTTGACATCTCAGCACTTTGTGAGGCAGAGCCGGTGGCTTGGGTTGCAGCATGGAGGTTATTTATAGGCTATAGAGGGGACACCAATCATTTTGTCACCTCTCATTCCTAAGACTCCAGGGGCTAGCTTCCCCTTGGGGATGCTTTGGGGAGGGGCTGTGGGATCCCCCTAGGAATCTAGGACTCCCACTGTGTCCAGGCTCAGCCTTTAACCCATGTCTGCACATGGGACTGTGGGGACCCGGGGTTCCTGTCTCTATAAGTCTTTGAGGTTCTGTCTCCTGAGAACTGGGGGCTGCAGGGGCATCATCTCAGCAAAGAGCAGAGATCAAGAGCAGCAAAAGCCATTCTTCTGGGGGTTAGGGGTTCCGCAGGGGGCTCCGGCCATAGCACATGCTGCTGGGCCCTGCCCTTGTCTGCCCTTGAGTTAATTTGGGCTCTGCAGGGCTGCAGTGGCTAGAGTGGTGAGTATTCCAAGCGGCTGTCAGGTGGCTAAGTATGGAAACAGCTATGTAATTGGATCCTGAGCCCCAAGCCACTGCCACCCCCTCCCCTTTGCAGCCCCTCCTCTGAGGCCCAGCCCCAGCTGCCACCTCTAGGCCTCCACATAGCAGGGCCATAGGAATTACTAGCCTTTTACGGACATCCTTCATCTTTCCTCCCACTGAGGGAACTGGGCATCTGTGATGTTCCATAGGCCATGCTGGGGGCTCTTGCTTCAGGGAATAAGCAAATGCTTTGTGGGAAGGATCTCTGTGCTGTTTCCTTTCTGGGTCCTGTGCTGTGCTCTTCCTTTGGCACGTCCCCCAGTGTGGAAGCACCCCTTTCTCCTTGTTCTTGCTCACCTTATCACCACTCTGCCTCAGCTGTAGATTGCTTAGTCAAAAGGTGGCTTTCTCCTGGGCCTATGGGAGCATCCAAGCCACCAGGTGGTTCCCCAGGCCTCCATAATGACAAATTTTTCCTTGTGGTTGATTTTCCCAAGAATTGTGCTATCCTGGCCAAAAGTCCTGTCTTTGTCCCTGAACTCTTCTCACTCCCTCACTGTGTATTTCCCTCCCATTTCTCTCAGCTCTCATCTGGATGGCAATAGAAGCCCCTTCTTGCCCATTTCAAAGGGTAGGAACTATGCAGTGCTGCCTTCTTTTCTACTTATGCTGTCCCTGTGTCGCTCTGGACTAGGGTGGTTGGCTCTGTAGCCCCTATCACCTACCAGGAGACCAAGCATCCCTCTCTCTTCCACCTGTGCCAGGTCTCAGATGAAGTAGCAAGGCCCTGTCACCAGACAGCATCCTATTTTCCACCCTCAACTTGCTTCCCTAATCTTTGTAACTATCTGGGTTCCCCCATGGTCTGGGTCATGGAACAGGTCTGCTCAAGGACAGGGGGAAAAGACCCTAGAGATAGCTTGATGATCTCATTATCCAGAGACAGTAAGGAAGGTCAGAGAAATGACAGATTTGTTTGAGTCAGTGACAGAGGCATGTCCAGCAGTGTTGATCTCACCCACCAGGATTTGCTTCTGTCCTCTATCTGTCTCTCTGACAAACCTGTCCTGTGGGTGGGTATGAAACTGGGATGGATAAGGTCACCTGAGGGAGATTTCCCAAGAGATCAAGAGAGTGATGCTTTTGTTCCTCTGATTCCATGGAAGTGGGGTGAGGTAGGTGGTGCCCAGAAAGCATTTCTTTGGATTTAAGCCATTAATATTTATTGGTGAAGGCTCATTGAGTACACTTGTGCTTCCTGTTGTCCCTCCTGTTGCTTGATACGGAGATCTGTGACATGGGGGTTCTGTGTCCATTTATCCTTCATCCTCCTTCACACCCAGCCATGGTTTGTAGACCATCAAACTGCTCTGGCCCCACCCTACATCCCAATAGCAAGGAATTTGTGCATGCTGAGGGTATCCATTTTTAGTCCTAGGACTAAAGTGTCCCTCCTAAAGAGACAAGGGTACAGTATGAATGTTAGGAGCCCTCCCCGAACTGTGATATTTCCAGGAGGAGTTTTCATTCCTGTCACCTCAACAGGGCACTCCACCATCCACCATGGGGAGGCTGCTGAAAGAAGGGAGAAGCTCAGGGTCTTGGGGAGAGAGCAGACCCCAGAAGCCCTTTCAGCTCCCTAAAACCATAACCTAGTCCCCCATTTTCCACACAGAGTCTGGAATGGTAGACCAGAATATACTTATGGATGCATCCCCCTGCAAAAGAGTGACACCTTGCTTGGTGGCCCATGTAATGGAAGTTTAAGAAATGATGATTTTGTCCCATATCTTAGTGTTACAGTGAAGATCATACAGAAAATCCATGGCAGGCTAGAGATGAGATTCAGGTCTCTTTGTGCCTTGGCCAATGCTTTTGCCCCCTTATTCCCTTCTGAAGTCCAGATAGGTCCGGTTGCTTACTGTTGGCCATTTGGTACTCACTCTGGTGTGTGGACTGGGAAGGAGCCTGACCTGTGTGGACAAAGAAGGAAGATGGCTGCCTCTGCTTCTGGCTTAAGGAAAAAGGACAAGGCTAGATGTTGTGCATCTTGTATGGAACATCCATCGTGAATGGAGGAGTGGGACGGGTGGGGTCCACTGCTATGGACACTGGGATGGAGCACCCAGGCTTACCTCTCTCTCCTGGAACACATTCCTACTCCAGAAACAAATCCAGATCTCCCATGGCATAGCCCTTGCAGGTAAATGTTGCTTAGATATGCAAAGCCCTTCCTGTAAACACCTTGTTGCATTTCATCATTTTAGGGACTCATCCCATATTTATTGGGTTGCTGTTGTTTTCATATATGGGACTAGAGGAATGCAGATAGGTGTTCTGTTTTTGGTGGGCTTACAGTTCAGTAGGGACTCCTACTGGAAAAGTGAGGTGGGCTGAAGGAAGGGGACAGGTTATCTTGGGCTAAGCAGGTCAGAAAGTAAAGATGAAACTGGGCCTTGAAGAAAGTAGGATAAGGACATAGGGAAACATCAGGAAGGAAAATCCACGTAAAGGGAATCGAATGAGGCAACTCATGGAATCAGAAGAATAGGGACCTGAAGAGATCCAGGAAAATGTACCATTGTTCTGTCTTGGATGAGGGTGGGCAGATGGGAGTGAGGCAGCAGGAAATTTATTTGGAAGATGAGGTTGGGGCGGAAGTGCAAGGCCTTGACTGGTAGGCCGAGAAGAGCAGCTTTATTCTGTGGACAGTGGGTAACCATGGAGGGCTCTGGTGAAATACACAGTTGTTGGTGGAAGGAGCAGGATTAAATGTCTCAGAGAGGATGAGAAAAAACTGATTGGTCAGACATGCCAGGAATTTAAGCAGGGTGGTGGTGTGGACTTGGGCAAGGCTGGGAACAGGGAGAAGGGGGAACCTCAACTGAGAACGGGGGTGGAATCAGATGAACTTCCCAACCTGATGAGCCAGGGCGGGGAAAGGAGTCCTGACAAGCTTATGTAGGTTACTGGAGAACAATCTTGCCAGAAGAAGACACCATGGAGTGTAAGAGAGAACAGATTCTAAAGGTTTATTTTGGGTTATTTTGAACATCAGGTGCTGGTGGGATGCCTTATGGGGATATTTCAGAGTGGTTAGAAAGATGGGCCTGGATCCTAGGAGGAAAGTCAGACCTGGGAGTCTGGACATGAGATTCATTTGGGTAAAGATGACAGTGAGGCAGAAACGGAGGAAGCTGTTGCAGAGAAAGAATGAGATTTGAAGACTAGTCCTGGAAGAAACTGGACTTAAGGAGTAGGAAGAGGAAGAGGATAATAAATGGATTTTAGAAAGATGGGAGGGGATCCAGGAAGAGACAGTGTCTTGGCAGCTAGGAAAAGGATGTCTCCTAGAGGAAGGGGTGTTCCACAGGATTAAATGTCACAGAGATGTCGAGGAAGAGATGGTGTTGCTTTCGACAACCTGAGGTCACTGACATATTATAAGGGGTTTAAGAGCAATTAGTGAGGATGTGGAGGCAGACATAAAGGGCTGAACATGGTGGCATAAGACTCTGATCCCAGCAGCTTGGGAGACTGAAACAGGAGGATTACAAGTTCAAAGCCAGCCTCAGCAATTTAGCAAGGCTCTGAGCAACTTAGGGATACCTTGTCTCAAAAATGAAATGAAATGAAATAAAAAATAAAATAGGCTGGGAGGGCTGGGGTTGTGGCTCAGTAAAGCCCTTATCTAGCACATGTGAGGCACTGGGTTTGATCCTTAGCACCATATAAAAATAAATTTAAAAAAGTATTGTGTCCATCTACAACTAAAAAAAGGAGGGTCCTGGGAATGTGGCTGAGTGGTTAAGTGACCTTGGGTTAAATCCTTGATATTCCGCCCTCCACCAAAAAAGACTT